TGACTGCTGGGCTTCCTACACGAGCCACTGTTTTGCAACAGGCAAAGTGAGCCCAGTGCTGGAGGCTGCAAGACGAGAACGGAACCAAAGAGGCGGACCTCAAGGCCGAACAGTTCTGTAGCATCTGAGCTGGAGGTGAGAATCCCAGTGACAAACCCCAGAGGCTTTCACTCCTCTTGGGGTTGACATCTGGGGAGCTCTCAAAAACAACCCATCTGACTCCTCGAGAACTCATTTGGAAGCGCCTAGTCCTGAGCGTGGCTTCACCTGACTCTATTAACTTTAAGTGAACGTCTACAGTTTTCCCAAGTGTCGCTCACAGGAACTCCAGGAAATAGAAAATTACAGAACAAAGAAGTCTAACTATCTTATTAAAGACGGCACATTTAATTAAAGTAGATGTGAGAACAAACTAATTTGTCCCTCTAAAAAATTCAGAGGAGAAACAAAAAATTCCAGACTTGCTTGGGATTTGCATTTTGTTTTTCTTTTGTACCAAGTATAGGTACTTAATGGTTTTATGGCATTAATATTATCAGTAATATCATTATTGAAAATTTCAGGCTATTAAATTCTAACTACACAAAAATGAGCCAAATAGACTTAGAGGATTTGATTTCTGTATAGGCTGTATAACAGTTCTCCAGAAATACTACCTATCCAAACTGAAACCACACTTTATTGTCATCATCCTCATCCTTATCTTCATCATCTTGGACTACCACCACCATATCATCTACAAATATATTATAAGAAAGCCATACTCTTTCTTATTTGACAAAGTTTCTTGAAATTATTACTTTGTTAAACCACATAAAATTTTGTCAGTTGGGACAAAAATAGTTGTCTATCTTCCACATTTTTAGTAGCGTCTAAAGCTATATACCTTATTTTAAAAGTTGTTGATTAATGCAAACGTCTCTCATAATTCCTAATAATATTTTCCAAGGCACAGGTCTCAGCAGTTATGGTTTCTTCCCTCATAATATTAAGAATATCATAAAGGTGCTTCTCTTAACCTCCAACCCACTAACGTCCTCAGATTTCAGAGAGTGTGGGGATGTTTTAAGGACGGAGTAGGGAACAGCTCTGACACACTTTTTAAAATGACATTGTCCATCTATTCATTGGCTGAGTTAAAATATAAAACTACTCGATGACTCTGATGAATTACCTTCTTTTTATGAAATCCCTTGCACTTTCACTTCTGCTGGTTTATGTTCAAGGGGCTATATTTTTTGGATTTATATAACATCTTTCTCTGGCATATGCGTTTAGGGCTAAACAATTGTACCTACTTGTGTTTTCCTCTCTAAGATAAGCAAACTGAAACAGAATTAAACTAAAAGACTAATTTGCTCCTCTCCATTCAAAGCAGCCTGGAAAAGAAAGAATCGCTCTTAGTCCGCTGCTCACTCTACTAGATTCTTCTAAAGTCCCATGCAAAATAATAATGAAGTCACAGGAAGAAATTAGATGTATTAATTTCATGCTAAGTATGGAATTTAGGAAATATAATTAGAATTCATATATTTTCTTATGTACATTTGTTTTCACATAATCAGGGTTTTGATATTTTTTAAATGTATTTATAAAATTAATGTTCTTTATGATAACCTGATAACCGAGGCTCCCAACAAATGCTGCAGATGGTGATAAAGATTTTACTTAAATTGGACTTTCCTGGGAAAAAAAATTCATCTTATCGTCAGTCTATATGTATAGTAAAACTCCTGACCACATAAGTCTGTCCTTCCATTGTTTATTTTGCTTATGAAAGCACCAAAACAAATATTAATATGTGGAGAAAATAATAAAACCATCTCGTGTTTGTTTAGCTTTGATACCAGTTTCACTTATTCAATATCACTTGACAAACTTACTATTACTTCCTCATTAATGGAAAGTCCAGCATCTTTTATAGTTTCTTCCTAATATTAATCATTCCTGCCATTAGCAATTTCTTATGCCTGTCTTTTATATTCTTAAAACTATATGAAACCAAAATTCTCAACCTGAATTTTCCCAAATTATGAATATCATAGCCTAAATATATTCACAAAAGTAAATAGCAAACAACCATAGCCAGCGATCCAAATTAACTGAGTGTGAGAAAGAAGATTAGAATAAGTGGCAATTATCCTTCAGGAGCTTTCTAGAAAACAGGTACAAGCCACATGGAGTAGGTGAAAATGAAATGGAGATTGAAGATGTGATTCCGTGTTCATCCAAAAATACACTCATTCATGAGGCAATAAGCGGCTCCTTGGACTATTCTCAGACTAGCACACTGTCAGGTAATTAGAAACAATTTAAATGAATTTTTTTTTTAAGTATGAACAGGAAGAAAAGGGGCTGAAATATTACCTAAGTACAAGGAAAGAATTATTGGAAGCTAGAAAATTAGCCACTCAAATCTCTCTTTGGACATCAGCCTCTGTTCAAAGTTGAGAAATGGTTTTAAATGATCACCAATGGACAAGATAGTTGTCCAAATATGAGACAGTCAGTATACAAATTACAGACACTGACTAAGAAGCAAAAGTTTTGTACATTTGTCAAGCTGTTTGGAGAAGTGGGTGATGTTCAGCTTTTAGGAATACTGAGTGATAAAATGGAAATAAGCATGCAGCATTTAATATCCAATTTGAATTTTAAAAAGCATAGGAAATATAACAAAGTCTCATCTTTAGTTTTATTCAAAGTTCCTAAGCTGTTTGAACTCCAAAAAAAGGAACTCAGGATAAGAAGACTCTCAGTTTTCTTCATCATGAAGTTTTAGGTAAGACACATCCTGCAAAATCACAGCTTGCCTGTTAACAAAGCTATTACCTCTTAATAAAAGTTTTTCTGGGACATGTGACAATCTTTCTCACATTATTATATGCCCAGGAAAATTGTGTCTTTTACATTTTTTCTTATATAAATGTGGCTACATATTGTGGTCAATGAAAGAAAGTAACCATAGCATCCTTAACGCAGAACAATGTGAACATCACATCATGTCTCTGAACATCCCCATGGGACATTCAGTTGGGCAATCCTCATGGTAACACCATGCTACAAAAGGAAGAGTTAAGAATCAGAAATAGTAAAGCTTAGTCTAACTGGTCTAAAGACAGCAGCCTAATTTATACATGAAAAATAAAACAGAGACAACTAAGATAATCTTTTTGGTTTCAGTCGATAGGCAACCACTTACCTAATCTTTTTTGCATTTTACCAAACCTAAAACATTTTAGGCCAATAACTTTCAAATTTCTTTGACATCAACCCACTGTAAAAAAATACATTTCACATCACTATCAGCCCACAGGAGTGTGTCCAATTAAAACAACTTTTCAGAAGACAAAACTTACCCTTACTAAATATCATGCAATCGGGTAATGCATATTATATTTTTTTGTTTTATTCTTTTTAAAAAAATTTTCTAGACTCACTAAACTGATTTCATGATCCTGTAAGTCATGATAAGCAGTTTGAAAACATCACTTTCAGTGTCCTAACGTCTGATAACTACTTAAGAAAATTAAAGTTTCCTAAGACAGTCTAATCAATTCTTTCTTTTTTACCCACAATTATCCAAGGAGAAAAACTGAGAGGTGAAAAACTTTAATAACATCGATCTCTATGAAGTACTTACAGAGATGCTTCTCTTCCTCCCTGGGTAATATGGGGCAAAGAGGATGAGATTATAGGCAATAAACCACACAGGAAAAATCATTTTAAAACTGAATTCCCTACCCAGAATCCCACTTGGGTGACGGGTTTTTAAAATTTTTTTTCGCTTTTATTTTTTTAAGTTCTTTGTCATTTTTCTATTATTCTAAAATTATTTGAATATCACTTAATGCAAAAGTTTAACATGGGGCATATTACAGTAATACTACTTGTCACTAGGATGATGAACAATTTTGAATAAAATGTGATCCCTTCTTTATTTGACCAGGCTCACTTTGTAATTATTAGCAAGGCAGTAAATAATACACCAAGGAGCAGTCTCATTAGTGCCCATTGAAATTCAGTGGCATTAATTTGCAATAAAAGAACTGAAAATTAAACGGGAAAGAAATAGTTTCTGGAGTCCAACATAGGGTTATGGAATTCACATCCTACTAATACCTTCCTTCACATCAAGGAATGTTATGTGAATTAGCTTAATCGCTGTATTTTGTTCTTCCGTTTAAAAAAAAGAAGAAATAGGCAGAAGAAATCCTTTTTCTCTTTCCACTTTAACTCTAAATTAAAGCAAGTGAAATTAATTTGAACTATGCCAACTTTTGAAAGTTGTGTTCATTTTTTGTCTTTTAAGTAATGACAGCCCCGACCTGTTTGGCTGTAGGATGCTCAGAATTCTTCTAAGGGGGCTAAAGATGCAAGTTTGGATATCCCAAGCATCGGCACTTCAGTACCCTCTGAGCCAACCTGTACCTCAGTCCTGTTTCTTATGCTATAAATATCTCTGGAAATAGAACACGAACAGAAAACGGTCCAGGCTTGTAGGACAGAAGGTCTGGTGAGGCAGGAGGCAAGTCCAGACACCAGTGTACAGTCAGGAAGTGCCTGGCTCAGAACCTAGCCTCAGAGGCGCCCTGAAGCCTCCAAGGCTAGTCCAAGGTACACCTGTCCTGTGGCCACCTTGGCACAGGTGTTCACCAGAAACGCCCACCTAAGCCCTCTGCAGGCCCATCAGGAAAAGAAGGGAAAAACTGGCCATGGAAAAGCGGGAGGGAAGGGAGGGGAAGAAAGAACCATTTCTTTTGGGAAAAGTAAAATTTTAAATGAGGACATAAAACATTCGCCACTTAAGTCACGAAGTGTTCTGTGTCCTGGACTGGAAGCTTCTTGCACAAGTGTCTGTGAGGCCAGACCCCAGCTGACCCCGGAGGCTCCTCCCAGGGCGTTCTCTCCCCAGTAGGCCAGACGGGTAACTGAGCTGGCAGGGGTTTATTTTAAATCACTGGCGCATCGACACGGCCCGTGTTAAACTCACGGGACACCTATAAATTTCCGGCTGTCAGAAGTCACATGCCAGCTATCCGCTCCACCACGGACTCAGCAAATCAGAAACTTGTTAAGACCCATTCAACTCCTGGGCTGCTCTTCCCGGGAGGGCAATTCAACCCTACAGCTCTAGTCCTAGAACGCGGGATGCAGAGGAAGGGAAACGTGGGTGTCAGGAGTCGCGTCCCAAAAAGTCATCATCATCATCATCAACAACATCATCACCATCTTCATGATCATCAACACCATACCCTGCAGGTTTCCAATCCGAAATTCTAGATGAAAGGAAATTTTGCGAGCACCTAAAACCGCACATTTAGAAGAGTCGTAAATAAACACAACTCTGCTGAACTCCGCTGACTCCAAACACCGTCCAGCTTTAAACACCAAAAGCGGGACCTTCCCTCGGGACTCAAAGCGCCCGGTGTTGACTGGCCCGGAGGTGTTTTCCCCTACAAATATAACCGCTGCTTTGTAGGGTTTTCCAGCGTTTGTTTGGTTGGGAAGCACCCGGGCTTTCGGACCTGATCGCACAGAGGGAGGGGGGTGGAGAACTTTCTGTTTTTTTAGCTGCCAAGCCAGAGCGAGAACTCGATTCTCGAACGCGCCCCCCGCGCTGGGCCGCGCGCCCGCCCGGGATCCCCGCGCGCGCCCTCGGGTCGTGCGTC